GTTTCAGATAAGAAAATCACATCTGGCCTCTTATCCTGAAGAAAGCTCTTCAGGTCACGGAACGTTCGTCGGTTGCCAAGCCCCCGAACGTTCCAACTGAAGACTAACATTGAGACCGGGGAGACCCCTCAAGGCTGGTCTCCTCCGCCTGTATAATAGGCATATTAACACATAGCCGTCGTTTTCCAAGATCACCATTAACTTCCTTCTCGCTACCATCCACACCCAAATGATCTGCCAGATGCTTCCTTTTTAGATAAGGCGCAGAGACCCCTTGTATACCAGACCTGCTGGGCTCTGCCACTCGCCTTGGCCTCCCACGTCCGCGACCCGTAACCTTACGTGCTGTTTTCTCAATTATAGGCATAAAGTTAAAAGGGTCACTAGTTTGTGCAATGACCTCATTCGTGTCCCCCCCAACGGGGTCAACAGATACTTGTACAGGCCGAGAGGGATCCATCGAAACAGAAGGTATGCCTGCCACAGGGACCACCGTACCTGTGCCCCGCTGATCAAGTGCTGAAGGGGTACTCTTGACACCCAGGTTGACATCCTGCACCAAAACGAGATCTATCACGCCAGCAACAGAGGGGGAGATACCCCCTATCCCCGCATCATCTGTTGAACGACATCCAGTCATGGGAGCTATCCCCGGGCTGGATGGGAAAGCCTCTCGCCGTTGACGCAGTTCAAAAGGAGAGGAGGCCGTGTCCATGGCTTCCTCAGAGTCATGACGAGACGCACGCCAAGAGTGCCCTCTGGACCCTTCCCTACCATTCTTTCTCTCCATATGTGACGAGCCATGGCGCCTTGCCGACGACCTAATCGGTTTCCCCCATAAATTGATGACACCTTCTAGACCCTCAAAAGCAGAGGTGAAAATAGCAAGGTCCTTAGGGTTGAGTTTGCCTCTTAAAGCCTCATGTTTCTTCACGCAGTCTTGGGTAGGATGCCCCAAGCAACCACAAGCAAAACAATATTCTGGGAGATACTCATAGCGAAACTCTATGATCTTCTCCCCCACTTCCGGAAAAGTGACGGGGGTCCTTCTCATCAAAGGCAGACGGACATCAGCTCGAACCCGGACACGAATAAAACGACCAACACAGTCTTGCCCATCCCTATTGTCCACCCGTATTACCTCACCCACCGTCGATCCAATAGCATTGGCAACAGCCACCGTCATACAGAAACCGGGGACCCCATGTATCTGGAGCCAGAAGGTGCCATGGGTTAGCGTCATCGTATGAATACAGTCCTCCTCAGCCACCGCAGCCAATAAAATCAATGACCTACGAAACGTCCAAGGCTCCATGTCAAGAACCCTTTGGCGGTCCCGATCATAAACAAATCGAACCCAAAAACGATTGTGGGCTATCTCCTTGATCGAAACCTCGTCAGAGCCTTTCCACAGGCTAGTAAAAGTCTTAATAAAATTATCACAGTGAACTTCTTGCTGCGATACAATTTTAGCCACCAGACTATATGGAAACCCAACAAAGCGGTCCGATACTGCCGCACTGCCAATCACCACTCCAACTCGTTCCCGATCAGTCAGATCCAATTGCCGCTCAAAAGAGCTCTCAAAATCCTCCAGGACCATGTCGGCCCCAGTAATATACAGAGCGTGTTCCCCAAGTCACACCACACAACCCTAACCCTAGAAACACTGCACGAGTAAGCACCAGCCCGCAGACACCGCTGTAGCCTTGGAGCAGCCGTCAACCCCTAATATATAATGAATGATTCCACTACTAATATTATTAAGGCCTTTTGTGATAAAACCTCACACCTATTGGGCTTTGCCAATTATACCTATATGAAATTAAATGAAAAAGGAATGCATTTATTGATCCTTGTGATGATCAAATAAAATACCAAAAGCAAATTATTCAAAATATGATGGCTTGTAATGATCCTTGGGTGGATTAAAACATTCTGGAAAAATATTGTATAATTGTCTTAATGAATATCTCTTATAAAAATGAATATATAAGTAATCCAAAATCTGGAAATGAGTTTGCCATCATTGTAGTATATATATATATATATATGAAGATGATTTAAATATTATTGGAACTCCTAAAGAGTTTACAAAAACTTCCCCTAATTTAATAAAGGAATTTGAGTTGAAAAATCTATAAAGATTTTGAAGTGTTTGAAACATATCGCCAAAAGCCATTTCCTGAAGAATACAAGGGAACAAGTCCTAAGATATATAATTAATGTGCCATATAATGTATAAATTACACAAAGAAATCTAGAAGAAGTGAAAGAGCCTGAAGCTCAATGTAAGTACTCAATCGTCTTGAAATAACAGTAATTTAAATTATCTCAGTGAGTACTTCGATTAAATTTGAATTCAAATTCAAAGACGTTGCAACATATTCAAATGTTTTAAGTTATGAAAAATGTTTAAAGACTCGTGAAGAGCTCATGAAAAATATCATATGCAATTGTTCTCAAAACATACAAGAATATGTATGAATGACTTATAATACCATATAAAATTTCAATACTCTTATCATTATAAATATGAGCTTATTGTTTTTTATATTGGAGAGCATATGAAATTATTCAAGCCATTATATACAGTAAAAACTTATGAAAATAGCCTAGATATTTTTGTAGTACTCTAACCTCAACAGGGATTAGATGAATGACGACACACATGGATCCTCTAATGATGCTGCAACAACAAGTTTTATACAAGCATTACCAAAGATCACTTCGTGAAGGACGGATGTGTTATTAGTATCATTTGTGCTGGATCATCAAAGAAGTATAAAGACATCAAGGGGAGTAATTCTTCAGGGGGAGCATCCAATAATATTGCAAGATTAATTTACAGAACCAGTGCCAACTATGACATTCAGAAAGATGGTCAACAATATAGTTTAAAGATATTTTGTCAACACCAGGGGGAGCATGCCATCAATAAGATCTTCACACACTGTACTCTTTTCCTTTGTCCATGTTTTTGTCCCACTGAATTTTTCATGACAAGGTTTTAACGAGGCAGTGTCGCATGCGTGTCAGTGTTCTATACACAGAATTTTAAGTTATACATGGTTATGTACTCTTTTTCCCTTCGACTAGTTTTTGTTCCACTGGGTTTTATTGGCAAGGTTTTTAACGAGGCATACTTTATATATGGTGGACATCCAAGGGGAAGTGTTATAAATACTTAGAACGTGGATGACCACCATTACATTCATTACCTCCACCTTTTGATATATTATAACCTATATTATTAGTATTGTAATTAGTAGTCTTGAACTCATAATTTGTAGGTTAGCTTCCTATTATTATAAGCCTATAAATAGGTGATTAACAAAAAAGAAGATAGAGAAGTTTTAGAGTCTAATTTCTATTGTCTTCCTCTACTCCTCATTTCTCTCTACAATTTCCTTTAGTTAGATAACAAATATATTGTAATTCTAAATTGTTAATTTGGACAAAATGGTCATGAAAAATGTGCATTTAATGTTGGTTCATTTTCCTAAACCTTATCATAAGGAGGAAAACAAAACCCCCGGGGGGGGGGGGGGGGGGGTGCTTCACTTTCCCCCTACTTTTCCATGTGCCACGCAACCATTTCCCATGCCTGGATTTACCAAACATGGGAAAGCAATTGATTTCCCATCCCCAACCCTCCTTTCCCATGAACTAAATGGGGCCTTTGGGAAATTGACCTGCACACTCACTAAACATAAGGGATAATAAAAAAAAAAGTACTCACTTTTTAAATTTCAATAAGAAATATTCACTTTGTAACAAAGAAGTATCAAATTGCCCTCCATAGTATTTGCTTTTATCAATTGAAGGGCAATTTGAACGCCTCATTTAAGTTGAAGAAACGGGATCCGATATTGGGTTTTTTTGTGCAGACATCCAAGTCTTACTGTCTAGCAGAGTTCAATCGTCATTTCTCCATGATAAACAATGAGTGAGTGAGAACTTATCTGGTACATGCACATCTCCATAAGTGGTCTCAAGCCCATTGTGACGGACGACAATATAATGTCATGACTATAAGATAATTTGGGCTTTGATTGATTATATACAAGGCACAATTTTACTATGATTAAGTCTAAAAGGGAGCCCTGATCAATTTATTAATAGAGTATCCCAATAAGGAGGGCAATCAAGCCCTAATAAGGTGTGTCTATTGGTATTAATTAAATGAGATACTAAAAGGAGCAATCACATTCCTTGATGGGAGGGATCTAATTTGTATTGTATTCTTATATAAGGAGGTCTCTGCTCTCACATCAATATATGTTTTAAAATACCTAGTCCTATTTACTAGTTAAAGCATTCGTTGCTGCAGAGAGTAGAAGCCTTCCTTGTTTGCTGTGATCAATGGCTTCATCAGGTAAGACCTAATTCTTGTACTCTTAATTCTTATGGTTCAATTCATACGATGAGTGTAGTTCTTTGCATGTATGCTATTTGGATTAAATGTATTCATCTATGTGCTTACATGTGGTATCAGAGCTCTTACTATATGCTTAGAATTCGCTCACTAAATTGTTGAATTAGGAAATATGCAATCGTATGTTTGTTTGAATTATTGTTATTATTTTGGTTAAAGGTTTTTGATAAAAGACCAAAAGTACACGTTTTTTTTTTCCTTTTGTTATTTTGTTATGAGTAATGCTACACTTACCACATTTATATCCCACATTTTCATACCACCTTATGTGACAGATGAAGTGGACAATCACATCAATTAAAAAGTGTCAATAAATCATAAAAGATAAGAAAACTTTAAATTAATTTTAATTGATGTGTTGTCCACCTCATATGCCACATAAGGTGGAATGAGAATGTGGTATACAAATGTGGTAAGAGTAGCATTATTCTTTTGTTATTAATAATAATGCAAATAATAATAATAAATAATATAAAAAAGGGCCCTACTAATCCTTATGTTTCCTACATTAGATGTGGGCATTTGGGGTTTTTTTTTTTTTTTTTTTTGGTTTCTTTTTCTTCTCATCTCCATTCAATCTAGGCATATGGGTTTTATAGGCAAATTGAATTCATTTAGGGTTTTGCTTTTTTCTTCTCATCTCCATTCAATCTGGGCATATGGAAAGTCAAAATTTTCAAATGTTTCTGCTGTTTTTTAATTGCTTATGATGGTGAGATCTACTCCACTCCTACTTTGCTTCTTGCTGCACTAACATCAAAGGTTAAGGAAGAAGCAAACAAGGTAAAAACTTACATGTACATAATCAATCAGATGTATACACTTTTGTGTGTGATTCTTATACAACAAATTTATGTTTTTTGTTTTCATCAGACATAAACATAAAGTTTGGTTTTACTGAACATACTGTTAATATGGTAATCAAGAAATTGGCCAAGTTTTAAGGAGATATTTGATGTTCACCAAAGTGGATAGTTTAAATAATCTATCTTAATTCAAAGTTCATTTGAAATATATAGACCATAATTTGTAATCTTCTAAGTTATAACGGGTAAATTAAATCTCTCTAAGGAGATTGTTCTCTTTATCTGGTTCAACTTGAGATTAGTGTATTATAATTTTAGAGTGCTTCGTTGTGAATGGTTTCTTCTACCTAAAGGTGTAGGGATTATTTATTGACCTTGTATTCTATGTATTGGTGGTACAATAAAGAAAATTTTTCATTGCATACTATGTTTTTGCCCAAACGAAAAATATAATAATGCATAAAGTTTCTCAGGGATATAAAGAACAAAACTAAAGTTCATTCTTTTGATCTTGATGGTGTAAATTAACATAATATATTTTGGCTGCTTCATCAGTTATGAATCCCTCTTTCAATTTCTCTTCAATTGAGACATTGACTGGAAGTAACTACAAGAAATGGAAGCAAGATGTGGAGATTGTTCTTGGGCTCATGGACTTGGATTTAGCTCTACGGAAGAATTAACCTGCAGCTCTTACAAATGGAAGTAGTGATGCACAAAGAAGGCAATATGAAAAATGGCATAAGGCTAACAAGATGTCTCTTCGCATTATGAAGAGGGCTATGACATAAATAGTGAGAGGTGGTATTCTGAGCAATGATAAGACAAAAGCTTTCCTAGAGGCTGTTGGGGAGAAATTTAAGGAGTCAAAGAAGGTTGAGACGGGAAGTTTGATGAATGCCCTCACCACTATGAGATATGATGGTGAAAGTAGTGTCAGGGAGTACATGATGAAACTCATTGACATTGCCAATAAGCTCAAGGATCTAGAAGTAACCATCTCTAACCCTTTCCTCGTGCATATAGCTCTTAATTCACTACCACCAAAGTTTGGATAGCTGAAAGTTTCTTACAATAGACAAAAGGAAAATTGGGATCTTAATGAGTTGATCTCCATGTGTGTACAAGAGGAGGATAGGCTGAAATGTGATAAAATGGAAGTTGTCAACCTTGTGCATTCGACTGATGGTAAGAAAAATGGTGCATCAGGTTATGGTAAGCCCTTTCATGCTTTTAAGTCTTCAAATGCTTCTGCCAAAACTGCCCAACCACCACCTAAAGGGTCTCAAAGTGTTAAAGTCAACAAAACTGAAATTTTCAAATGCTATTTTTGCAAAAAGTCTGGCCACATGAAGAAGG